AACTGTGTATGTTCATGTGTTCACATGTCAGTGCTCATGGTAATGGGAGACATCCATGAAGCAGGACAACATGGCTAACGATATTTTTGGCAGCGGGTTGTTGGATCGCCATTGTAATTATATCTTTGCTTTAACAATATTTCTCTTTCTTTCCTCTCTTCTCCTCTGAACTCCTTTATCCACCATCCTCTATCTCTCTCTATTCCTGCTTCATGTGTGTATGTAAGTGTGTGTGTGTGAGAGTGTGTGTGCATATGTGTGTGTTTCTAGAATAACTGTTAGTGTGGGCTGGAAAATCATTTGCTATTATCTGGTTTAACTTTGCCTGGGATTGGAGTCTTTATTGACATCAAGGAGTGCTTCCACAGTTTAGAAGAAAAAGAGGACTAAACGAATACCAAGCTGTCATTAATTAAATCTGCCAATACTGAGGTGTGGTGCAACATACCCTACTTCATATTCTCTTCTTGGTCTAGTGACTATCCAAAACTTCCAGTCATCTTAGAGTAGAATTCTCCTTCTCCATAGATTGTTGAGAAAATAGACACAGTAAATGGGGTAGAAGAGATACACACAGAGTTACTGAATGAGGATGGAGAGGGGGATCAAAAAATGATGCACAATCATTACAATATGCAGTATTTGTTCATTTTAGGATTATAAGCAATAGGTGCACTGAGTTCATAGTGGTGAGAGACAGTTCATATCATGGGGGCTGTCACTGTCACCACATGGCTCAAATAGAGCAGACCAGGGTCAAAGGTGCTTCTTGTTATTTCTCCCTCTGTTCACAGCTCTTCCTCACAGGAGAAGGAACAATGCTACCATTGCTTAGGAGATGAAAACCACCCACTCCACCATCAGAACAAACTCCTCAGTGGGGCTATGATAACATGTCCTCAGTATGTAGGACTAGCCAAGCTTACTGAGATATAGATACAGTCAGAATTTCCTGTATTGAAGTATTTCAAGGGATGTTTTCATCATTTTTGTTACCTCAGTTAACATATGAAGAAAAGAGGTGTATTTGGCTCATGGTGTAAGCAGTTGAAAGTTCAGCAGCATAGTGCCGGCTCTGGTAAGATACCTCCTTGCCTTATCACACCACAGATATTACAACAGGAAAGCAGTGTGTGAGAGAGATCTCATGGTAAGACAGGAAGTCAGAGAGAGTTAGGAGGGTCTAGTCTTGAAACAGTCTGCCACTAGTTGGACTGCAACCAAGACAATTGTAGCAAGGCTCTGGCCTAAGGAAAGTGCCATGAAAACAATGCTCAGCATTCCTCCAGATAGAGTAAAAACATAATCTCAGAAATATAAATACAGCTGATGGTTCAGAAAGCTAGTTGGATACATTTACTTTGTGCTAAACTGATGTGCTCCCTGTGTAATGACTCAGGTAGACCTTAGAATGCTGTTGGGTGTTTTGTTCTCATTTTATACATTAGGAAAGGGAAGGAGACAAGGGCTAATGATTTTTTTCAAGGTCACATAGCTATTAAGTGACATAATTGGAATTCCAGAACAAATTATTTGGATCCATGCCTAGAGTCCAACTACCATAATGTATTTTCACTCTAATTAATAGTATGTGAACTCTATTTTTTTTTGAAAAATTAGATTTTACTATTAAGATGACAGGATGAAAGATTAAAGTTAAGTATACACATACAAGATAGAGAGTCTCACAGACCTCACCATATAATAGCAATGAAAATCATCCTGACCTCAAGTAAGGGAAGGGTCATTATCCTCACCCTCACTCATTTTTTTCTCTTCATCATGGCTTGTGTTATCGTTGTTTTCCCTCTAAAACATGGTTAGGAAGAAAATGCTTCTCGGTTGTGGCATAAATTAGACATTTGGGTGAGAATCAGGTATACCAGAACAAGAAAGGAATTTGAATACCATGCAAGTGAGGATTTGGGGCTGAAGGAGCCTAGCAAGATGCACAAGCCCAGAATGCAGTGTTACCAGAGCTAGGTCCATGGATGCAGCAAAGACAACAGCAGAAGCAAATGTAAGTCAAACTAAATGTTTAGAAACTCATGCAAGAAGAAGTTGGATATGATAAATTATAACAAAACTTGATGTTACCCAATTCTTAATTCTGTCTTAGACAACTGATTAAGGTATTTATATACATTATCAAATTGAATCTCATGAGGCAGAAATTTAAATACCATTTTACTTAATTCTTTGAGAATGTCATACAGTATATTTTGATCACAGTCATGCTCCACCTCCCACCATCTCCTCACAGATTCAACTCCACCTCCTTACTTACCCACTTCAGTCACCAACACATGAGCAACCAACCAGGAGTCTTACCTTTAAAGAACTAACTCTGCCTCTCCTAGAAGCTATCAGTTGCCAATAGCTCCTCAGCTAGGGATGGAACTTCATACTTACTCCAGCCTCAACTCATGCTGGGGTTTGGTCCAGCTCTAAGTTTTATAGGTCATGAAGATGCTCTACCATTACTACTATAAGTTTATATTGCAATTGCCCTGTTGTGTCCTGAAAACACTGTTTCACTGTAGTCACCCACCACTGCTATCTCTTACAATCTTTCCTCCCCCTCTTCTGTGATGATCCTTGAGGGGAAGGGTAGATACAGATGTCCCATTTAGGGCTGGGCACACTAAAGCATCTTACTCTGTTATGGATCTCTTGTGTTAATCCAGCTGTTGCAAGATAAAGTTTCGCTGCTGAGTTTTGAGAGAGACACTGATCTATGTGTATATTAATAAGTCATAAGGAGTTGCATTCATACCATGTCCATTTAGCAGAATAATAGTATTATCTTCTTCCCAAGCATCCATAACCTATCTTGCTTCAGGTTCTTGACCCCTAACAATGGGACCAGTAAGGGTTCTCTTTTGTGGATCATGCCTGAAATCCAATCATAAAGTGTTTGGTTACTTCTAGAATATTCATGCCACTGTTGTGAAAGTGGTGTATTTTGCCAGGCATTATTGTTGTACTTCACAGGGTATAGAGCTGGCTAAGACTGATGAATACTTTTTTCCTGTAGATGAATGCATAGCGCCTTCCAGCACTATGAAAGCTACTCACTAGGGATAAACCTTCTGGGTTAGTACCAGCTTGATTACTCCATGTTCTATGACTGAAGTATTTGGTGTCCTCAACAATAGGCTCTTACCATCAAGTTCTGGAGGGCAACCAAGAGCAATAACAATGTAATTTAGGGGCATGCATCAGTCCCTACTGGCCAATGTTTGTTACCAGAAGAGGTGATCCATTTCTGTCACTAGGCTTTCTACTTGCTAGCCTGTGGTTTCTGGTGAGGGGTTCATGCCCTTGCAATTGTGTAACTCTATTTAAACTCTTTTATTGTGCATTTATAATTTAGTATGCTTCTACAATAGTAGGCTTTCATGTGAACTTTTTAAAAGAGTACTTAGAGTTAGTTTCTCTTCCGCATACTCCTTCCTCTCCTCTGGGCTCTCATTTGCCATTTCATTTAATGTTTTGTGTTCTAATATTCCACTTTCTCCCTTTATATCAATGCATCCTATCTTCCCTCCTCATACTCTCTTACTAGATTTCTGACATTTGTGGGTTTTTCAACTAAATACACACCTGTCTAACAATTCAAATCTCACATCCACGTATGAAAGACAAGACATTTGTCTTTATGTATCTGAGTTACTTTACTCAGGATAACTCTTTCCAGCTCCATCCATTTGCCTTCAAAATTCATTTTTTCTTAACAGATGAATAGTATTTCATTGTGAAGGTATATCATGTTTTCATTATCCATTAATCAGCTAATGGACATCTAGAGTGTTTCCATTATAGATATTGCTAACGGATGGGCACCTATTCAAGAAGGATACAGTGTCCCTTGGGTGTATTATGCTTAAGAGTGGTGCAGCTAGATCCTGTGGTATATCCATTTTCAGCTATCTGAAGAACTTACACACTGGTTTTCACAGTGACTTTACCAGTTTGTGATACCACAAGCAAGGAGAGAGTTGAGCCTTCATCTTTCCCCATAGCCTCACTGCTATCTTTTTTTTTTTTTTTTTTTTTTTTTTTGTCCTTTAAAAAAAATATCTTTTCCATTCTGATTAGGGTAAGATGAAATCTCAAAGTAGTTTTGATTTGCATTTCTCTGATGGTGTAACTTCCATATAACATTGAAAAAATATTTCTTGGCCATTTGTATTTCTATCCTTTGAAGACACTCTGTTTATTTCTTTGCCCTATTTTTAATTGGGATTTTTTTCTCTGTGTTTCATTTTTCAAATTCTTTGCACAATCTTGATAATGACCTTCCATCATATCTATGGGTGGTGAAGAGGCAGGAGTTTCAGTACCTGATTTATATGTAAGATGAACGAGGCTGTGTGAGGTCAAAGGACCTGCATAAGATGATCAGTCAATGCCTCTAGTCTCAGCTAATCTGGCTTTCACTTCACCATAGTTGAGTAGGCTCAGACTGAAGGGTGTGGGAAGAGCAAGAGAGTGTATTTTATTTCACAACCTCCGGCCTTTTTTCTTCCTTAAAGAAAATCTTGCAATTTATGCAGCATCTCAAAGACCAAACTAATTACATTTAGATCTTAACCTTCTAACATGGACAATATGTGGTAATCTTGGCTGAAGAAGTGAAGTTATCATTGAGTTAAGAAGCCAGATATTTTGGAGAAAAATTAAAAACCCAAATCTCTCCATCACAAAATATAGAGTTTGTGGTTTAAAGAGGGAAGAAACCATTAAACGAGTCAAGGTAAGGGTTCCCACTTGCAAAGGCTTGAGATACCCCCTCTGTGTGAGCCTCTCTGGTGATCTAAGATGCGCATGGTGTTTTGTTGATCGGAAGTTTGGGATGCTCTGTTCATTAAAAGCTTTTATTGTTTTGAAAGATTTAACTTTGTGTCTCAGCTTCTTTGCTCTTTTCAGATGTAGCACAGTGAGAAATGTTTCTGAAATAGTGCCCTTCCCAGGAAAGAGAATCGAATAGGGACATGTTCAATTAAGCTGTTTTTATTTTTGTAATATAGAATGAAAGTTTTTCATTACTGGAGGAAGATGATACAAGATCAGCAAAGCTTAATACGTCAGTAGTGAAGTGTCTGTCACATTTACTCTGTGACACTCTTGAAATGGACTTGACAAAAACCTAACGTCATGTCCTAGCTAGGAACTATAGCTTTTTTTTTTTTTTTTTTAAGATGTTTTTCTCACCTTGTAAGGAAAAAAATAATTACCAATATAGAAAGGCAACAGTCATTAAATAAATTAAAAGCATCTTTAAACTTTTTCCATATACATATAATATATATTTAAATTGCTATTGACTGTACAAGCATTAAACTTTCAACTAAAACATTTACAGGAATTAATGTGAAAAGTTGAAGGGAAAGCTTTTTTTTTTTTTTTTAGAAAAAGGTGACCATTTAATCCCTTATAAGCTACACTAAAATACTGAGAAATCAGTCTTACCCAATATTTCTTACTTAGCTGCTTATTCATCCTTACATATCAGGTATGTGTAGCTATTTCTCTAACCCAGCCTTGATTCAACATGTTCAGACATTGGTAGCACAGAGAAAATTTAGAGCTTCAAGATTAACTGAATAATGTAGTTACATAAACATTGCATAAGTCAGACTGATGATAGTATTACTCACAGTTGTCTATGAAATATTAAATGGGTAATAAGACTTTTATACAGAAATAGTAGAACACTATATTAATGGATAAATGATCATCAGTTGATACAGAGCTAGGTGAGCATAAAATTTAATCTGGAATACTGCAATCCTGAGGTCTAAGGCATTCAATCTTCCAGTTTTTACAGCATCAGATTCTGAGAATTATATAATATTTACACAGGTTACAATGAAGAATTCTTAAAATACTGCATGGATATAGGTAATCCCTTACCCGGAATTCCAGAAAACAGTTATCAGGAAGAGAATGCATAGATTCAAGCCAGATGGGATCCCAGCTGTAAGAGGGGGTGGTAGACATAGGCTCCTACCTCTAACCAAGAAGCTGTCTGCAAACGACTCGCTTGAAAAGGGAAAATTAGTTTTCTCCAATGGAGTGTCCCTGGACATATTAACCACACTTCAGGGGTAGACCCTGAGCCCAGGAATAAATGGTCAACATAAGACTAACCCTGTGGTATTTTTGTAACTTTTTGTTGAAAAAAATATAATAATTGTTTTCTCTTTTATTGTCTGTCTCTGTCTCTGTCTCTGTTTCTGTCTCTGTCTCTCTCTCTCTCTCTCTCTCTCTCTGTGTGTGTGTGTGTGTGTGTGTGTGTGTGTGTGTGCCTGGAAGACTGGATGGGGCAGTGTTTGAGAGGGAAGAGAGGAAGAATGAGTTGGGAAGGGAGACAGAACTGAGATGGGACAAGCAGGTTTTATCTAGGAAACAACATTTTAAATTGTAATACTTTCCCCCATCAATATTAATATTGCATAGGGAGTTCTCAAAATCTTATGGGGACACTGTACAGAAACTTTTTACCTAACTCATTGCAAAATAGACACTTTTTAAAAAAATATTCCATTAAATAAAGCCTTATTAATTAAAGTGTCAGTCATTTTACTTTAGCCTCCACTACTAAAATATTTTTAGCAGTCAGTTTTTTCCTTGTATGCCATATTGTACCCCCAACTTAGTACATGTTACCATGTACGAAGACCTCCATTTCCATTGCTAAGAAAATGTCAAAGCTCAATGTGTGCTGGTTTTAGCATGTCAGCCACTAACTAAAATGAAATATTAATTAGTCAATTTATGGACAACATTACATGAAGATTATAATAGCAAGAGGACTAGAGAGCTAATAACTTCAGGAAGTACTTCTGAAATTAGCTTAGAGCAGATGAAATTGCATGTTTAAAAAGGAGGTACTGGAGAGCTACATCTGGGTTTTCAAAAAATGGAATTCCTAATTTTCTTTTTCTGGAACTCAATGAAAAGAGGACATCCAACCAGACAGCTGGGTCAAGCATCACTCTTGGCATACTCTTTTGGTTCATCAGTGGATGGGTCTCATTAGAATATGATATTGGAGGGAAAAAAGGAATCCCATGAGGATAGAGCCATAGAACCACATTAAAAAAATTTTTTTTAACAAAGGTACAGGTGCCCAGCACACATATACACACACTAGCACTCATCACACACTAACTCAGCTCACACCATAATTGTGGACAAAAATCAAGGGTAAACAAGTCTCAGAATTGCTTGAGAATCTAAGGCAAGAAATCTAATAAAACCACAAGATTCCTATCTAGGTCCCTTTAGTCATTAGATGAGTAGAGACAAATGATGTTATTGCTGCTATCTCCCATTTAGTTTTAAAGCCCAATAAAAAATAAGTCAACAAGTTCTCCAACACTCCTAAAAACAGTTTGAGTAATAGCTTTTCTTATGTGATTAAAAAAAAATAGATGTCCACATTCACTAAAATCTTACTTTTAGTTACATTTAGAAGAAAATACAGTTCTGTTTTTCTTGGTGGAAATCTTCACTCTATTTGTTCATTCTCTTTATGCTATAAAAGATCTTTTGGGACAAAATGCATTGCCACTGCAAAAATAAAAACAGAAAGGAAGAAGGAAATAGTCCATAAAACCCAACTAATGATTGAATTGAACACTTGAATTCATTCTCTGCTGGGTTATCTACAAGCACAGGAGTCCACGGTCATGTTAGGGTACACCTTAAGCACCACATTCTTGTTTTCATCAAAGAATAAGATGCTGAGTGAGGACATCTTTTCTGGCACACAGCAAGGCTCAGGAATTCCAGAGACGACCCCCACTGCTCTCACTATACTCTGAATGGTCGCATGGTTTGATGGCTTCAAAGACTGGAACGAGAAATAAGAGCTACATGTTAGGTGAAACTGCTGCCTCCCCTCCCCCGCCACAGACCTCATCACATAAAATGGATTTGTTTGAACAGTTCAGTAAAAAAACAAAACAAAACAAAACCCACATCATTGAATGTTCAGCCCAGACTCCTCTACCTCCTAGGATGGATCATCTATAAAGTGCATGCTATGCTCCGGGAATTTTGTAGGTGGTGCCTTTAATCTTCACAACAAATTGGTTAGAGTTTTGCAAAGACTCGGGAAGTTAAATGACTTGTCTGAAGTCAAACAGCTGGTAAATAGTACAGTGAAACTTTGAACTCAGTTCTGTTAGCAGAAATCATTTAATTGGAAACAACTTAACCCCAAAGCATGGAATTAATGTATTCTTTATGTTTTTATTACAATGACAAAAAAATTTCCTTGACCTTCTATGGACCTTTAAAGAACTCCAGAGAAAACACTAACAGAGATAACCATCACCAACAATAAAGTGACATTTATTCGCTTATTAAAATAAAGTTAGGTGGGATACAGCCTACTTGTTTATTTTGTAGTCAGTAAAAGTTCATATTACACAATTATTCAGTTCAGAACAGAAATTGGGATTGGCAAGATCATACCATTGACCACTGGGGGTCACTGTTGCTCCATAGGCAGCTTAAACTGGGTGGCTTGGTGGTCTAAGGTGGGCCATGTCCTCTGGGAATAAGATATAGGGTCTAAGGTTTTCACATGGGTGTCAGGAGTTTGATCAAGTCAAGCCCAGAGTGGTCAGGAGGACACTATTAGAGAAGCCAAAATGTCTGGCGATACTTCAACTGTCCTAGTATTTTTTTCTTAAGTGAATGAAATTAAACACATTTAGAAACAGAAATTTGAGAACTCAGGTTTTGGCTCAGTAGAATATTTGCCCACCATGTGATGGTTAGTACCTTTCAATAAAACAGAAACAACAAACAAACAGCTGAGCATGGTGCTGCCTCCTTGCAACCCTGACTCTTGAAGGCAGAAAGATAAAGAGTTCCAGGCCAGCCTTAACTGCACAGATAGCTGAAGGTCACCCCAGGGATACCTGAGACACTATATCAACGCAAAACAAAAACCAAACCAAAAGCAAACCAAACAACAAAAGGAGGGCAATTTCCCAAAGATGAACAATATCATTTCAACTAAAACTCTCATATTGCTTTTGACTCAGGGGCTTCAGTATCCATGAATTGGAACTTTAATTCTTGACCTTTAAAGAACACCAGAATGGAAAAATGGGAAAAGTTAGAAGGCCAAAGATGCAACCAGGGCAAAGGAGAAGTAATGCAGAAAGCTAATGTACTGTAAGAAAAAAAAATTAAAACAAGTTTAAGAGAAGATGTGTGCTGACAAAGGAATGGAGATGTTATCTGAGTCATTCCATCATCTTCTAATTTCAAGAAGAAGAATCCATACAGTACACTTCACAGTGCTGTGTTTATTCTTGCTTCCTATTGATTTGAAGAATACTTTTAAAATGGCTTTAGTTAGTTAATTAAATGGTTAATAAGCCCTAATTGATTACAGAACAAGGTATTCTCCTCTTAAGTTTTAAAAAGCCCCAATATTAGTTCCTTACATATTGTTTGCTCTATATTAAAATGTGTTTACTGAATGAAAATTATTAGAAAAATGTAGAGATCAAAAGAGCATGCAAGTGTATATAAAGAATGTCACAATGGCTCCCACATGTCTGGAATTGCCATCGATGTTGAAACACTCCAGTGAACAACCACTGCTAGCCACTGTGTTACTATTACTGATTTTCATAGGTAACCTTTGTCTAATCCACATTTTCTATTATTGATTGAAAGCTACGTGGAAGACTCAGCCTTTCAAACAGTTTGTTGTTAGAGCCTCAGGGGCAGTTAAAACCAGGCTTTGTGATATAATTCTCTATGGTTAATGTTTAATGCCTACATATCACACAGTGTGGATGGCCTTAATTATAGTACTTGAGCCATTACTATGTCTATGCACTGACTCCCCCAGCTCTTAGAATGCATATCTAGACACTGGAACAATGTTGCTAAATGACTAAAATACTTAGAAGAAATAGCATACCCTTCATTTTACCCATTTATGAGAAATGAATTCTATCAACAAAAAAAAAAAAAGATCCTGTGCAAGTGACTTGGTGTAGATATGGAAAATATTTGTGGGTGTTTCCTAGGGAAAATTCTTGTCCTTTTTTTTTTTTTAAATCCAAGTCAGAACTGAGTATATGAATAGTCTCTAGTGGGTTCATCAGAATCAGGCCCAAGCCCTTGATTCTGGGGTGGTGCTTTGTATCAGGGACCTCTCAGATGACTAGGGAGTATCCCCTTTTTCCTAGCTGTGGAATCCTCTGATGGAGCTACCATTACCAGAAATGGTCACATCATGCACAAATAATCCATGCGGTCATTTGCTGTTGCGAAGCACGCTGCCAGCAAGATGTTTTGTTTTTGAGCTAGGATCATGTTTCTCATGACTCTCTCTTTCATGCTTAGAGCTGGTGCCAGTCACAAGTGTGAATCTGTGCTCCATCCGTGTGCATTCATCACTCTCTGTAGAGTGTGCACCTTCCACATCGATTCAGGTGCAAATCAGCTGAATTTTATTGAGATTCCGTGCATATAGTGTTCATCTTCATGGCTGAGATTAGACCCAGAAGAGCTAGAGAGTTCTTTAAGAGTCTATCATTTTGGATTAATTAAATGTGAATCTCTTTATATGGAACACTCCATTCAAAGTATTTCAATTATTTGTTGCCTAACTCTATATCTCTGCTATTCCTAGCTTTTGCACAATTCCTTGCAGAAATAACTTCATTCCTCTAATCCTTGTTGGTTTCTTGGATCTCTGTCAGGAACAATGGCTCAATCATTTTCATTGGAGATCTCTGTTTTCCATCGTGGCTGAGGTGGTGAGGGAGGCAGAGGCACAGAACTTGGCTCTGGCTATCTGGGTATTTTTCATCGTATGGCACCATTCCAAGAGTCTCTCTCTGGGAGAACAGATTGGCTCTAAAAGCCAGGAATCAGAATTAAAAAAACAAAACAAAACAAAAAACCCCGAACTGTTGTGTCTGTGAATGAAACCTTCTGTGGCCAGGCTTGCACCTGCCAAGCTGGGGGACGGTGTCCTCTGCTTAGATTTGATTACAGACGCATTGGAAGGGGAGAATATGTCATCAGCTGAGAACCTTCATTCTTGACCTGGGCCACGAGGTTTTGCTCCACGCTCTTCCAGTCCAGCCCACATGGGTGTGATGGCCCAGAAAGTATCTAATTGGAATCATTGAAAGGGCAAAGCCTGGAATTTGGGAAAGGCAGAACACAGCTGTTCTGAATTATAGAGCAGGTTGTCAACTTTTGCAGACGAAGCGCTCGGCCATATAGGCCAGGCTTTCACCCAGGAGGCCAAAACCATGAGGCCCAACAGAGGAGTCTGGCCTGGGAGAGCGTTCCTCTGAGGCAAAATATATATCTAAAGTCTGAAAGTTCCTTGGCACGTCAGCCAGCCCACATGTGCTGTACTGATTTGATGAGAGACCTTCATTTTCCTTTACTGGTCAGACTGTATTTTTATTTAAATATCTCATTCTGGATGCCACACCAGACACTGTGCTAACAGCAGTGCATATTAATTACCTCCTCCCTTTCCCTGTATTTCCAGTCCTCCTCCTCCTTTGTTACTAGTTGACTGAAAGATACAGGGTCCTGAGTGCTTAAAGGGAACCCCCAGCACACGTGCAAAGTTAAGCAGCACTTCCACACAAGGAGATGCTAAACTCCCACTCGACTTAGCGAAAGGGAATGGCAACCTCAGAGAAAAGACCTCCACACGGATGTCTGTTATGTGTCCCTGGAGCTTTGATGCCATTCCAAGTTTCAACAAATATTCTGATGAGTCCAGTTCCTGCCACAGATTTCCTCGTCATTCCCTTCTCCCCGGAAAAGAACTTCACTGGAAGAGCTTACAGCTGCTGAACTCAGAGGGAAGATCACATCTTCAGTTTTGTGATGTTTGAAAAATGACTAGAAACGTTTACCAAGCCTTCTTGCCTCATGGCTTTCCTTTTGCGTGCTTGCTCTCCCTGCACAGCATTTCCGTAGACACCGCTTCCCTTCCATTCTGTCTGTTGCCAATCAGGTGGAGAGCGCACGGTTGCTCTGCTATCTCGTTTTGTCATTGTGTTTGTTGTGCACGTCCTGTCATTTTTGCTATTTTCTGCATGTAGAACATTTTATTGATTTATCTAAAAGGCCATTGTTACTTAGTGGGGGAACCAAAACTCAAGCCCAAGGAAACTGTTAATCTGCTGTCACAGAAAACATTTTGTGAATCAGCAGCATCGGTGGCAACGGCAGCTGAGGCCTTGTTAGAGGTGCAGCAACCCCTGTAGTTTCTACCGCATGTGCACTGTATCAAACCCCATGTAATCACGAGATTCCAAGCAGTTTAAAGGCTTTAAGATTCCTGCCATGACCAAGTATGGTGGTTTAATTATGTAGATGCTTCTCCTGAAATTCTCCACTGTGTTTACTAACTTCTTCCAGGGTGACTTTCAAATTAGAGTTCTTTTCAGTTTCTTCTAAAGAGAGTGGATTTATAAACAGCGACCAGAAGTAGAAGGAAGTTGAGAGGGCACAAGTGGGGAGAAGCTATGGAGAGGTGGAAACCGAGTCCTCTAGAGTTCATGGATAGAAAGCAAAGGGATTAAGCATCTACATTTGTATCTTTTCTGGAGACTGAAGGTCGAAGTAATGAAGGAACAGAAGAAAAATCTCACCAAGCTACCCAGAAGAAAATATAGCTAATGGAAGTGAGAGGGGTTATTTGGGCAAACACTAAGTCCTACCCCGAATCAGTTACTCTGAACTTAGATTCAGCTTTGAATTACATCCCTATTTCTCAATGTCACAAGGCAAGCCACACTGTAAAATAGGACACCTCTCTGCTTTTTCCATTTACCATCTTTACTATTCCCACGATGCTAAACATCAGCCCAGTTGGACACATTTTGCCTCAACAATGAAGGTCCTTTATGAATCATGAGATAAGACAGGGCTCTTGATACAGCCCCAAATTCATAACCCTTACTTCAGGTTGAATTCTTAAAATAGAGAATTGCAAAACTCTCTGGAATGACAACTTTGTAGGAGATGTACAAAGCTCATCTTTCTGAAATAACTAACAAGAAAAACAATATTTCAGATAGGTTGCTGGCCTTGAGACTGACCTGCCCTTGTGTCTTCAGCCCCTTTGATGTGTAGGCCAATCAGCGACTAATACAGAACATAAAATAGCATTATAAAGACCCATAAGCCGAAATCAGTAGTCTAAGAGGCAAAGGAAGATTTTCTCTATTTTTAGGCAGCATCGAAAAACAAAAACAAAGACCCAACAAACTAACCCCCTCCCCCAAAAATGATTCCGATTTTATTAAAAGCCCCCTTCAATTCCTCTTCTGAATTCTGTCCATTTAGTCATCTTTAAGTATGTGGTATAGAGATGTAAGCTGTGTTAGCTGAGATAGAAAGCAAGGCCCTGAGCTAAACCTGATGCTGGGGAGGATATGGCTAATTTTTTACTGTAGTGTGTACTATTTATACTCCAGCACAAAGAGAATGGCCCTTTGGTCTTGCTTGGGGAGACAGACATTGGAGTTGAAAAAAATTCTAAAAGCATGCTTATGTGATAAAATGCAGCCCCCATGTTTTGGAAGTAAACAAGGGTAATTTCTGACAGGTTAAGATGGACCTTGGGAGAAGTCATTGTCATTGCATCCTGTTTTTCTTTGCTTTTATTCTCTCCTCCTTCCCCCCCTCCCCCCGTTTTCAAGCAAATAAAAACATGTGTTTCAGGCCTGTTCACCTAGCCAAACCGATCTTGACCATTCACCTCTTGAGAAACTTTATCCAAAAATGCTTTACACCAGGGCAACAGACCCATTGTTCCTTCTTTTTTTGCTCCCACAATATTCATCCCTTTAATACCACTCAGAGATCAGCTTCTGCCATCTGGTGCTTGCTTACTGTGGACAGGTGTATATTCACAAGTGACCACATAGCTGGATATGCACCATGTTTAGAAACAAAAAATGCATATTTTATACATGTGGTTTTCATAACCTTCATACCTCATATTACTTTTAAAAACCATCAAAGAAATCCCAAGCATAACCACATTGCCCATTATGCTATACTTTAGAATGTTATAAATAAGGTTCTGTATAGAGTTTCTTAAATGGAAACACACATTCAGTGTGTTCTTCTACCCCATGCAAAAACAAAGCAAGTACAAGGTAAAGGACAGTGGCTACCTTTGGCATGGGGAACTGGCAAGCTCCGGAGCAATAATAAGCATCAAATGACTTGGGAGAGATAATCCATTCGCTCCAGCCAATATCAGCAAAGTCCACTTTGAGGTACCTCCTGGCACAATTTCGAGGTTCAATCCATTGCTTTCGTCTTGCCTTCTTCAGAGTCTGTTCATCAAACTGCAGTGTCTGGCCCTTCTGATGAGGTCCCTTCCTCTGTTTCTTCTTGTTCTTGCTCTTTTCAGGAGGCTGAGTCTGAAGGGTCTTGTAAGGCTTTTTCTGCTCCCACACTCCGTCGTCCTCTTTGTATTGATATTCTGCTCCAGGTAGCTCATTGTTCTGCAGAGGCAGCAAGATTCCAGTGGAGCGCTTCTTCCTCCTTTCAACAGAAAGGGCAGCTCTGATATGACTATCCAATTTGGGAACCGTTCCTTCTGAGATATCTCTGTGCCTCTGTAAGCTAGATACCACACTTTCTGGCTCAGAAATGGCTGCATCATTGGCATATACCAAGATGTAAGGCTCTGGAAAAAGCAGCACCCTCTTGGGCAGCTCATGTACTCTGGAAGTAATGTTAAATCCTATGAGCAACTCCTCATTTTGCTTGGCCTTCCTTAGGAGCTGTGTGATATCTTTTGATAGCCAGGCCAAGCTGTCTTGATAAGTTTTGACCACATCTACTGACAGGTGACCCAGGGGCTGACTTTGGTTGGATTTGAGGATCCATGCAGAGAGATCGATCTGGATGTGTTGTCTCTGTGTGTGATGGGAGCATCCTTGGGATACTGGACAGCTGAAGCTGATGTTCACTATTTCTCCAATACAGAAATACAGTGTGGCTGACAAAATGTTCTCAGACTTAGTTAAAGAAGTCAGGTTAAAAGTGTGCAACCCCTGTCTTTGAAGAGTTCCTAGGAAAGAAAAACAAAGGGAGAAACTAAAGTAAACAGGAACTACTATTATTTTATACACTATTCAATATTCAACTCAAAATAAATCAGTGCTCTAAATATAACAGCTAAAGCCTTAAAATCCTTAGAGGAAGAAAACATAGGGATAAATCCTCATGATTTTAGAGTTGGTAACAGCTTCATGCATATGTCACCACATGCATTCAAGGAAAAGTATATCAACAAATAAAAGTTATAAATAAAATTGACTTTATCTGAGTTAAATGTTTGTGCATCAAAGGTAAGTACCAAGAAAAATGAAAGGACGATGTACAGAATTTGATAAGCAATCAGCAATCCATGTATCTAAAACTTTAGTAGCCAGAATACAACACATAAGTGGCAGCTTTGATTCAATAACAGACATGCCAATATGAGCAAAGGACTTGAGTAGATCAATCTCTAAAAATGATATACAAGTGGCTGATAAAATCTAAAAACATGTTGAAAATTGTCAGTCTCTAGGAAAGTAGAAGTTAAAACCTCAGTGATGTGACACATGCTATAGTGGTGTGGCTGTCACAGACATCAACAAAAAGCCTCAAATACAAGAAAGTTTGCAAGGAGAAACTGGAACGCCTTCAACTTATTAGGGTAGATACACATTGGTTCAGCTGCTGTGGAAAAGAATTTGGCATTTACTCAAAAAAAAAAAAAAAAAAAAAAAAGGAAATGGAATCAGGAAATTAATATATGATAAAGCATTTTCTCAGAAACTGCAGACAGGTGAGCAAGTAAGTGTATTCACAGTAAACAAAGGTAATAATAGCCTGGATGATCATCAGCCAATGAACAGATAAACAACTTGTAGTGTATCTATAAGACAGAATACTGTTATTGTGTTAAAATAGGAATGAACCTTGAAAGTTATGCAAGAAAAAAAAAACAGGTATATAAGCTCACTTACTGTTTAATCTCATTTGCATTAGGCAATCTAAACTAGATAACTCCAGAGATAGGAGCAGAGGGGTTCACTGGGTGGTTAGAATCAGCTTGGAATGAGAAGAAACTAAATAACAGTTCTGAGGCTTTACTTCCAGTTGATGGAAATATTTCCAAACATGTCAGAGTTTGCAATAGTGTGGCATTTTGACATATAATTGCCTGCCACTGTATCATCCATTCACTTTAAAATGGATCCTTTTAAGTTATGTGAATTTCACTTTCATGAGGAAGAGCAAGGAGGGGTGTGTGGGAATGTTTGGGGGGAGGAAAGGGAAGGGGCAAATTATGTCATTATATTATAGTCTCAAAAGAAACAACTTTTTAAAAGAGGTAAACAACACAGAATAAAAATTGTGCAGCCTCTCTCGCTATTGAGGGTTTCTATTGGGGAAAACACTCTGGGCTGACAGGAGTGGATTCTAAAGAAAGGCTACAGCAAAGATCAGTCAGCTTCACTAGTTTGCTCTTTGTTGAAGCACCATAAACATGGGAATTATAGCACCCTAGTGCACTTAGTGGTGCTATAGGCACACTTAGTGCAGGTGATGTTTGAACTCTGGAGAATTCTAAGACCTGTGTCTACAAACTCTGCACCTCACCACAGCTGCCTCTGTGAAATGTTTATCCACCCTTCTGGTGCAAGCACTGGGCTGAGAATTTGACCTGGATTTAATTACAGATTCAGTCACTTATTAACTTTGTAACTCTGGAAGGGCTAATGCCCTCATTCATAAAATAGAAAGACTCATACAACAGACACTCTAGAACTGCTTTTAACAAAGGACGTGGACTCCTGTTGGGTCACAAGGCCACTGAAAGCAGCAGCATGAAAGCCTGGCCTCTTTGCATTCATTTTGTATTTCTCTCCTTCATTCTGGATCAGATTCCTAACCAGCTGGATCAGACTTGTAACTGGCTGAAGGAATGCCTGAAATCTGGTGGTGCAAGATGACTAAACCCCCAAAGTGCCTAGCCTTGTCTTCCTTCCAATATGAAGGCACAGAGACAAGAGAAGCCAAAGTATTTCACAGTCAGCTTTTATAGTGCCTCTTTCTGAACCTCTCCTCTGAGAGGGGCTTTCAGGTCTCCATTTGGTATCCCAGACCTGCAGCCACTTTGAGTTCCAGGCACAGGGAAGCTTTAAAGGCAAATTTGACCAATGATGGGGTTATCATTAAAATGGAATGATTATGTCACCATGGAAGCTGAAGCTGCCTCTATACCCCTATAGGAAATATCATCTTGGGGACCACATTGTCTCTTCAAGTGATAAGGACTCATACAGAGTCACTTGAAGAATCAGACTCGAGACAAAGAACAGTCAGACCACAATTTGTCCAGGACTGCTTACTGAGACCTACCCTTGGCATTGTATCCTAGTTCTTCTCCGTGGAAAGCTGAAGCTCACAGCAGTACCCTCAAGATGAGCTGAGACATCTCACCTACCTCAGCTCTTTCTGTTATTGCCACACTGATTGAGTTCCTTGCCTACCTTACAATTCCTACTTTTCCATCAGAATGTTTGTATGGATGTGTGAATAGACCACCAATCTAGTCTTTGGCTAAAATGTGTATCTCTTGGGTCATCAGAATTAATGAGGTATGCACAATGTTTATAAAAGTTCTAGTGTTTCTTCAATGTAAATGCAAAATACTGTTGTGATCTGAGCCCAGATCATTGTAAATCATTGTAAGAAATACATTATTATAAGAATTATAATAAGTATGTATACTTACTTTGCAAGTAAGATCTTAGTATTTGGGTACTGTGTCTGAATAAATGAGCTACACCTTTAAAAATGTAAGATCATGGTATTGTTGTTCAGCTTGTCTGAACCTCAGCATTCCATAAATTCAAAATCCAAACTTATATAGTTCAAGAAAAATTATTGAAATTTTTAAGTCATATTAAGTCTATTAGCAATAGAAAGAGCAGGAACCTTGTTAGGAAAGGAAAAAACCAGTTCTTTCAGAATCATCTACTGAGTTCTAGCTAGGCTGAGGTTGGACCTGAAGAATCCAGACCCTGGGATTTGTCCCAGAGAGCCCGCCTCCATGCACTTGTTCCATATACATACTTATTTCAGAAATGCACATGCAACTGTGAAATTATGTTCTTGATCAAAAACACGTTTTAGTAAAAACAAAACATTTTTATAAAGACGTGGAAACTTAAAATGAGTTCATCAAGTCCCCAAGCATGGGGGAAGTGCAATGGGAAACACATTTTACTCATTTTTAACATTGTGTGAAGCAAAAGGAGGAAACTGCCATTTGTGCACATTTGTGTAATCCATGACACTGGGATAATATCTTACAGACCTTTATAACAAAGCCATAGCATCAGGGCTGTTCAGGGGCTCTGCCCTTAATTCATCCCAGTCACCACAACGTATACTTTTACCCAAACACCACATGGCTGAGGGGCATTTTAAAATGCAAGGAAGAGAAGGCACCCCATTTCAAGTCCATGGCAATCAAAGGTTGCCCACAAGTACACTGGTGGGTAATAGCTGAACTCCAAAGGATGAGGGGGGGCGCTGTCTCACTTGGTAAACTCTACATCTCATCTTTGAATATTTCATTCTTTCAAGCACATTTCTTTTTGCCTTGCAACTGTCTATCATTTAGCCTCTTCCCCAGCTCCAATCTTCAATGTCAATTAACTCTCAGAATCCTGTCACATTGCCTTCTCCCCCCATTTTCCCATTAAGACACCAGTGTCTTCTTCCTGGAAGATAACCCAGAGTTCTTAACCACAGAGGCATCTCTCAATTAAAATATGTGTTATAATAAAATATAATTATGTCATATCACTTCCCCCTTTCCCTTACTTTCTCCAATCCCTTTCATGTCCCTCCTTCTAAGTCTTTTCATGTCTTCTTGTGCTGCACAGTCTATGTACATTTAGACAAGATAGTGTTACTTGAGAGGAAGGAACCTTAATTAAGAAAATGTCTCCATAAGATCAGGCTGCACATAACCCTGTAGGGGATTCTCTTAATTAGCGATTGATGTGGGGGTTGGCACCACTGTGGATGGTGCCATCTGTGGTCTGGTGGCCCTAAGTTCCATAATAAAGCCAGTAAGCAGCACCTGTCCATAACCTCTGTGTTTGCTTCTGCTTCCAGGTTCTTGCCATTTGAACTACTGTCCTGACTTCCTTGATGACCAACATTGCTGTGAAAATGTAAGGCAAGTAAACCCTTTCCTTCCCAAGTTGCTTTTCTCATGGTGTTTCATCACAGCAATCGTAACTGTGGTGATTTGAAAGAAAATGGCCCCCAGAGAGAATGTCACTATTAGGAGGCGTGGCTTTGTCAAAGTAGGTGTGGCCTTGTTGGAGGAAGTGTGTCACTGCTGGGGAGGGCTTTGAGGTCTCTTTTGTTCAAGCTTCCTTCAATGTGACATTCAGTCTACTTCTTACTGTCTGTGTATCAGCATGTAGTAGCTCTTTCTACAACACCATGTCTTCCTGTATGCCACCATGATCCCCACAAAGGTAATGGACTAAACCTATGAAACTTTGCCAGCCACCCCAATTAAATGTCTTCCTTTCTAAAAGTTGCTGTGGTTATGGTGTCTCTTCACAGCAATGGAAACCCCAACTGAGACGGAAACTAGGGAACTGGGGTTCTGCTGTGTTGGGCCCGACTATACTTTTGTTTGGAGGAATTTGAACTTTGGTACTGTGGGTTACGAAAGCAGTAGAATGCTTTAAGCATTGCTTAATGGGCCCTGCTAGTAGGAGCATGGAAGACAGTGGAGCTGAGGCTGAGAGGAGAAAAATATTAGCATGTGGTCTAGCATGTGATATTTTGGTGAAGAATATGGCCACTTTTTGCCCTTGTCTGAATAGTCTGCCTGAGTCTAAATTGAAGGGTCTTGGATTAATTCTGCTGGCAGAGAAAAATCTCGAAATAGCTTAGTATAGACTTTGTCTGTGGTTATTAGTGTTAGCTCTGATTCTGATTTATAATGAAAATGAGAAAGCTGAGCAAATAAAAAATACAAAA